GACTATTCCTTCACATCCCCGAATGCGCCGAGGAGCATAAAACCAAATTGCATCCATCAAGCAGAAACTTCCCTCTGAATGAGACCCCCATAGGAAGACCCAGCATCTAGCTCATCTAAACTCGCCCCAGGAAACCCATTCTGACCCCTGAGGACGTCCTCGGGGTGGACACAGTCTCCAGGAGATCTGCCTGGGAGGCGGGTTGCAGAGCAGTCGCCGAGCACAGGCTCTGGAGGAAGCTTACAGTGCACCCTCTGCTCTGTGTCCTTAGGCAAGTCGCCTGACCTCTCTGGGCCTTGTTTTCTCATTGGGAAAAAGCCCAGTGCTGCTTGGGGCTCCCCGAGAGTGCGGCTTTCCCAGCCCTGCACTGGGCAGGACCCCAAGAGTCCTGACGGGCAGAAGCCCTGGAATCTGCCGCTTTCCTGCCTGCTCGGGCCTGATCAGGACCACCATTTCCTGATAGCCAGGGCTCTGGGTCCACCTTTGGATGCCCCGGCCCCTGCTCCAGCAACCGTCTGGCTCCGAGCGGTATGAGGAGGGTCATGGCAGAGGCCTGGATGGGGTCCCGGCACCTCACGCCAGGATGTCAGCAGACCCTATTACTCCCCCCTGCCACCCCACCCCCCACACACCCCCTGGCCCAGCACAGCCTCTCTGTTCTCCACTGAAACCAGAGTCCACTTGGGCTTGCTGTGTGATTGATTTTTCTTTGGGCAAGGGGATACCAGGCCGTGTTCAAGGCTGACTCCTGGCTCTGTGCTCAGGGTTCCCTCCTAGTGGCACTGTGGGGGCCCTCTGCTGTGCCGGGGATTGAACCCAGGTCGGCTGCGTGTGAGGCAGGGGCCCTTGAACCCGGTACGGGCTCCCCGGCTAGAGTCCACTCAGCTTGGATGCGCCTTGCTTGTTCACAGCCCTTGAGTCTGGGAGTGTCTCTGCTCTGAGGTCTCCCCGTCTCTCTAATGCCAACTCGCCTCCTCTCCCCCTTTCCAGACACCCCTTCCTATGGAGACCCCCACTGGAGCCCCAGTTGCCCTGGGTGGTCCACCTTCTGCTTGCCCATCTGCGGAGTGGACAGTCTGGGAAGGACTTACACAGGCGCCCATTTTTCTTCTCTGAAGTCTGAGTCTCCAGCAGTGACGTAGCACCTGGACCCTAGGAATGGAGAGGAGAGGGGCTCAGGCTTTTGAACTCCAGTTTGAATCCTGGACATCACTGATGGTCCCTCGAACTCTGCTAGGAGTACCCCCCCACACCCAGCAGAGAGCCAGAAATGGCACCACTAGGTCGCGGTCACGGTCACGGTCCTCCCGTTGTTCATCGATTTGCTCGAGCGGGCCCAGTAACATCTCCATCGTGAGACTTGATGTTACTGTGTTTGGCATATTGAATATGTCACGGGGAGCTTGCCAGGCTCTGCCGTGCGGGCGAGATACTCTCGGTAGCTTGCCAGGCTCTCCGAGAGGGGCGGAGGAATCGAACCCAGCTCGGCCAGGACAGACTGCACGCAAGACAAACGCCCTACCCCTGTGCTATTGCTCCAGCCCAGTTGTGACCCCTAAACCCCAACCCCCGCAGAAAAGATTGGATCTCATTGAGGTTCGGGGGTTTTGTTCTGTTTGGGGGTCACACCTAGCAGTGCTCTGGCCTTACTCCTGGCTCTGTGCTCAGGGATGGCTCCTGGCGGTGTTCAGGGGATCCTAGGAGATGCCAGGGATCGAACCCGGGTCAGTCGCATGCAAGGCAAGTGCCCTCCCTGCTGTTCTGTCGCACTGGCCCAGGGGGTCTCATCACTGGTGATTTCCCATCGTGTCTGGGCCAAGCAGCGGATGCTTCTACGACCCTGCCAGAAGGGCAGCGAGTATTTATGGGACCCACATGTGTGTCGCGCTTTCCCAAGGCCCGGGCCAGGGAGCCTCTGTGATTGTCCTTTGAGCACTGGGCCCTTGCCCCTGTGCCTTTTACATAGACTCCGAGGGGCTCCTGGGACCCCCACGCTCACCTACAGAGCTGAGGGTGCCCCGGGACTGGGCTCATTTCACACCTGCGGAGACCAGGGGCCACCAAGGGAAGGAGCTCTCCAGGGGCGACGCTGAGTAGACCCTCATGGTGGGGCTGGGGACAGCGCTGGGGTCCGCCGGGATGCTCAGGGTCATTCTCCACACTAAGCCCCTTCGTGTTCTCAAGGAGGCGGATTCCAGAAGCAGGTTAGAATCCTGTGGACCTGGGGATGGAGTTCCAGGACAGCAAGGAGGGCACATGTGTCACGGGTGGCTGACTTAGTTCGGTCCCTGACCTCCCATAGGCCCCCCTGAGTCCCACAGAGCCAGGAGTCCCTGAGCACAGAGCCAGGAGTCAGCCCTGAGCACCGCCAGGTGTGGCCCCAAGACACAGAAACGAAACAAGACTCCTCCTGGGGTCCTGAGACCCCCCTAGAAGCCCCCTCCTAGGGGTGTGCAGTGCCTGTGGGTGGAAGGGGTGATGCTGAGTCCCCAACTGTGGGTGCTGCAGGGAGGCCGGGCCTGGGGTTATTAATAGGCCTGGCTCGATGGGTCCCTGGAGGCGAGTGTGAGCTGGACGCTGACACGCCGCCTCACAGCTGGGGACTATCCGACACCCCCAGGGAGGGGGCCGGGGGCCGGAGGGAGCGCCACCTCCCAAAATAGCCCATGCAGGAGCCTATATAGGGGGCTGGCCCCCGCCCGGCCCAGCGCCCCGTGAGATCGCCCACGAGAGCAGCGGTGCCAGCCCGTTAGCCCGAGCCGAGGTGAGTGGCAGCCACTGGACTTAGACGAGGGCGGGGAGGAAGGCGAAGGCCGGCAGGAAGGACAGCACCCAGGGGTGCAGCACCCGCACCTGAGCGGGAGGGAGGCACCCTTGCTCCTTCCTCACACCTGGAGCTGCGGGCACCCCATTGTGCTGTAAGGGGCGGGGTGGAGGTCTTCGGGGTAACTCGGATGAAAAACCGAGTTGGATCCCGGACACGTGGGTGCTGCCAGGAGGGGTCACCCTAAGTGAGCACCCGTGGGTGTGGCCACTGTGTGGCTGTGGGTCCTCTGGCCAGGCACGGACATTCGCAGCCTCAGATTCCCCATCCATACAGATTGGCCGGGGAAGCATAGGCTCCCTGACACGTGACTGGCGCTTTTGGGGGCTGACAGAAGCACCCTGAGGCTCAGCACCCTGGGGGGAGGGCCAGTGGAGGGTCTAGGAAAGACCTCGCACCCAGAAAGATGAGGTCAGGGGCCCCCGAAGGCGCTGACTCACCGGGAGGGGCTGGCCCGGAGCCCGCGGGAACCCTAAGGTTTCCAGGAAGGGCAGCGGGCCAGGGCTGAGAGCCGAGGCCGCGGCCAGGGCCAAGGAGCCCAAGGTCCAGCCCGTGGCCCTGCCCAGGCCTCTAACTGGGGCCACATCTCCATTGGGCACCCCAAGGCCATCGACACCCAAAGGTAATTGGAAGCAGAATGCAAAGGCTGCCTCTGTGGGACTGGAACCCAGGTCTTAGGCCCCAGCCCAGGGCTCCTGCAGGGGGCCCAGCCTGAGCCAGTGGGAGGGGGTGCAGCCTTCTTTGCTGTAAGAGACCCCTCCAAAGCACTCTGTCCCGGGAGGGTGTCCAGGCCACCTTCAGGGGTGGTCTAGAAGGTGTGGGCTGAAGGTGTCCCCTATGTGGCCTCTGGTCTCCAAATGGGAGCAAGTCACCTCCTATCTTCCCTGGGTGCCCCCCAAGTTTGCAGGGCGGGAGGAGATTGAAACTCAGCATTGTACTTCCTTAGCCCAGGGAAAAAGTCAAAGTTACTAAGGATGGCAGGAAGGGTCTTTAACAGAGTGGGGGAAGAGAAGGATGGAAGGAAGGAAGGAAGGAAGGAAGGAAGGAAGGAAGGAAGGAAGGAAGGAAGGATGGAAGGAAGGAAGGAAGGAGGGAGGGAGGGAAAGAGGGTGGGAAGAAGGAAGGAAGAAAGGAAGAAAGAAAAGAAGGGAGGGAGGAAGGAAGGAAGGAAGGATGGAAGGAAGGAAGGAAGGAGGGAGGGAGGGAGGGAAAGAGGGTGGGAAGAAGGAAGGAAGAAAGGAAGAAAGAAAAGAAGGGAGGGAGGGAGGGAGGGAGGAAGGAAGGAAGGAAGGAAGGAAGGAAGGAAGAAGAGGAAAAAATGTAGAAAGAGATCCAGGAAGGTGGAAAGAGGGAAGAAAGAAATTAGGATGAAAGAAGGAAGAAGAGGAAGGGAGAGGAGGAGGAGAGAAAGAGGGAAGGATGGAGAAAGAAAGAAAAAAGAAAGGAGGAGTTAGGAAGGAATAAGAGGAAGGAAGAACAAAGAAAGAAAGAAAGAGAAGAGAAGAGAAGAGAAGAGAAAGGGAAGGAAGGAATGAGGAAGAAAGGAAGAAAGAAAAAGAAAAAAGAAAGGAAGAAAAAGAAAGAAGGAAAGACAAAGAAAGAAAGAAAGAAAGAAAGAGAGAGAGAAAGAAAGAAAGAAAGAGGAAATAAAATAGGAGGAGGAGAGAAAGGAAAGGAAAGAAAGAAAGGAAGGAAGGAAGGAAGGAAGGAAGGAAGGAAGGAAGGAAGGAAGGGAGGGAATGAACTCAGATTTCAGCAGGAGCACTCCAGGGGAATGTGGAAGAGGGGCTGCCTTGGGGGTGGGGGCGCGGGCAGCACCCCCCCCCTTAGCCCCTTGTAGCATCTCTGGGTCAGGGTTCAAGACCTCAGCCCTCTGATGGATGATTTTGCAGCATAAATCTGCATCCCGGAGGGAAGAGCCGGAGGGCGAGGTGGGGGACCAGGAGGCAGGAGGGGTGGAAGGTGTGTGGGCCCTTCCGCGCGGACCGACCCCCGGACCCGGTCCTGGCGCGGGCGGCGGCTCGCGGGGGCTCGGGCCGGCGCGGGTCCTGGCGGGGGGTCCCGGCGGGGGTCCGGGGCGCGGTCCCGGCCGGTCCCGAGCCGGCGGGCTCGGCGGCGCGGCTGCTCTGAGCCGGGTCCTGGCGGCGCGCCAGGCCAGGCGGGCGTGCGCCCGGCGCGCGGCACTGCAGCGCTGGTCATATGAGCAGAAATGATGAGAAAAGCACTTTTTAATCTTTTCGCACTTGCTCTGCCCGCTCAAACAGTTGCAGGATGTCGATGACAGACTTGCTCAGCGCCGAGGACATCAAGAAGGCTCTGGCAGCCTTTGCCGGTGAGCTGCGCGCTCTCCTCTGCGCCCCTCTCCCCTCCTCTGCCGCGGGGGCTCCCCTGCACCCCCAGGGCCCCAGGGCCAGCGCGACCCGGCGCCCTTCTGCCCGCGGGCCGCCGGCGGGGCGGTCGGGTGGAGGGTCCCGGCGTCCCCCCCTCCAACTCGGAGCCCACGGGACGGGGTGGAGGGGACACGGGGCTGGAGACTAGTGGGCGCCCCCCGCACCAGAGCTCGGGGTCCGGGACACAAGGCGAGGCCCCTCGGGTGGGCAAGGCCGGGCGGAACGACCTCCGGGTCCTGCTGGACACTTGGAACTTCCCCTTTAAGGCAGGTGGCGGGGACTGCGGGCGGGCGCGCCGTGTCCGCTGGCCCTGTCCGCTTTCCGAAGACAGCACGCTGGGTCCAGCGGGGACCGAGGGTGCCCCCCGCCTGCCTCAGCCCTGTCCCCGGGGCTCAGAGCCCCCCTTCGGGCAGCCGCGCGCGGGGTGACCTTCCCGCGGCCGCCGCCGCTGGCCAGCGGGACTCAAGAGCATCCTCGGAGGCGCGGGAGAACTTGCAGCCCCGAGGCGCGCCGGGCTGAGCGCTCATCAGCGCCTGCCCTGCTCCCCGCGACCACCCGGGTGGGGAAACTGAGGCTGGGAATGGGCTGGGAGTCTCCCAAGGTCACCTAGCAGGGCAGGAGGTGGGGTGGCCTGGTGGTTTTATCCGAGAACTCCCCCCTCCCACCCACCACCCTCCAAGGCTCAGGGAGCAACTTTCTCTTCAGCTCCGGGCTGAAGGGAGAGGACAGGACCCCAAAAAGGACCCCCGTGCAACACAAGTTCCAGGCTCTCCCCACCGCCTCAGCTCACGGGCAGTGCAGGGGAAAGGGGCGCCCCCTCCCCAGGGCACGAAGCGCCCCATTTCCCAGCTGTGGGAATAACCTTCTCCTGGAAGCTCCTTCTTGACTCCAAGGAGAAAAAGGTCTCCAGGAATTCCTTAGGGGCCCTTGAAACTACCCCCCTCCTCCTCAGGATGGATCTCAGAAGCAAAACCAGGTCTTGGGGCGGGAGGGCACCCCTTCCTCCCGCTGGGTGACCTTGCAAGAAAGTTTACATTCCCGTCCCTTCCTTGGCTCCACCAAGAGAGGGCAACCCCCCAACTTACGCCCGGTGTGGGGTGGGGGCTGCTGGACCCCTGCCCACTGTCGCCCTCAGGGGAACTAGGAACCTAGGACCCCCTCTGCCTTCAAAGGCTCCCTCCCACCCTTACTGTGGAGTATGGGGGTGCGGGTGGGGGGTGGCTGGTCCCGGGGCTGAGAGATCGTGCAAGCCCGTTTTGTTCAGTTTTGCCATCTGACCTTGGGCAAAGCCTCTCTCCTTTCTCAAAGTCCCTCCCACTCCCCCCCTCCACCAACACCGTGTGTGGGGGGGTACCAGCCCTCCATCCTCCAGGACCTCTGGGGAGGTGTCCATCAGCTGATGCTCTGAACCCCCTTCTCACGCCCCCACTCTTCATGTCGCCCCTCCCTCTTTTTTCATTCTAGTTTAATTTTTATTCTAACGGCTTCCCCGGCCCCTCTCCCGTCCAGGTGTGGATTCCTTTGACCACAAAAAATTCTTCCAAATGGTGGGCCTGAAGGGTAAGAGTGCAGACGACGTGAAGAAGGCGTTCCAGATCCTGGACAAAGACAAGAGCGGCTTCATCGAGGAGGATGAACTGGGGTAAACTGAGGCCCCGGGAGCAGGGCGTAGGGGAACGGGGAGGGGGGGAACGGGACTGCACCTCGCACGGCCTCTCGCCCCCCGCCTCCGCAGCGGTCTCGGAAGAACACGCGCCTGCAGGAAGGGCAGCTAACTAGGTTAAATTATAGCCACTTAATATCGCTAATGGAATGATGCTACTTAATAATTTAGTCCCAAGGAAGAGGCTGTTCTGGCTACCTCACAGCAGAGACAGGCAGGGAGTACTCACGGGGGGCAGGCAGTGAGTACCCATGGGGGAGGCAGTGAGTACTCAGGGGGCAGATAGGGAGTACTCACGGGGAACAAGCAGCGAGTACTCACTGGGGGCAGGCAGCAAGTACTCACAGGGGGCAGACAGGAAGTACTCACGGGGGCTAGGCAGCGAGTATTCAGGGGGGCAGGCAGTGAGTACCCATGGGGGAGGCAGTGAGTACTTAGGGGGCAGATAGCGAGTACTTACGGTGGGCAGGTAGCGAATACTCACGGGGACCAGGCAGCGAGTACTCACGGGGTTATTTTATTGATTCTCGCTTGTCCCCGAGACACCCCAACATCCTGCTGATCCCCCCATATCCCCCACCGCCTCAAATGCTGCTAAGGGTCCTTTCTGGGTATCTCAGAAGGTGCCTGAGATTTTTGCTTCTATTGTAATTTGGGGCTTTGGGGGGGGCCACACCTGGTAGGGCTCAGAGGCAGTTCCTGGTGGTGCTTACGGGACCATGTGGTGTTGGCAAAGGAAACTCCTGACACGAACAACCCCCCCCCCCGACCCCCACCATGGCCCACCCTGGTCCACCTGGCCCTGTCTGCAGATCCAACTATGTCTAACGTCTGTCTGACCTGCCCTGAATTATGTCAAGAGGAGGGGGAGAGGACGGGGAGGGGGCCTTTAGTAGGACACCCCGTTCAATCACTGTCTCCCCAAACCATCCCGCTGGGTACACTTTGTCTAGAACCTTCATTTAGGTGCACGGCCCCCACACACGTGCCTGTGAGTGTGTGTGTTCAGGTTCACCGAATGTATCGCCACCTCCAGGAAGTCTCCCTGATGCTTTCCTTTAGTCCAAGGCCGGGGGGAGGGAGGCCCCTTTTGAGCCTCCATCTCCCCCTCACACTCTCCCATTGCTCCCATCACACTTTGGGCTCTCTCTCTCTCTCTCTCTCTCTCTCTCTCTCTCTCTCTCTCTCTCTCTCTCTCTCCAAGCCCTCCACCTATTCCCCCGTTTTTTCTAAGACTCTCTCTGTGCCTCCACGCCTGGCCCAGCCCAGACGCAGGGAAGTGTCTGTGTGTGTGTGGCTGAGAACAGTCAAGTGAGGCCTGAAATGAGGTCAAGCCTTCGCCGAGGACAGCCTGTCCTTCCCCCGAATGTCCCCCACCCTCCTCCCTCCCCCTCAGGGCCCAGCCAGGTCCAGGTGCCCAGATCCTGAGCATTTGTGCACGTGCCTGGAGCCCGCCCGCCCGCCGGCCCAGCTGCCCGCTCCCGCCGCCCCCCTGCGACTGCAAGGTGCCCTTGACCTGACGCCCCCCACTCCCGGCTCTCTCCTCTGCCCCCAGGTTCATCCTGAAGGGCTTCTCCCCCGACGCCAGAGACCTGTCCGCTAAGGAGACCAAGGCGCTGCTGTCTGCCGGAGACAAGGATGGGGACGGCAAGATTGGAGTGGAGGGTGAGTGGCGTGACCTTGGCCGTGGGGCGGCCCCAAACTCAGCGCCCCGGCTGTCCCCTGGAGGGGCCGGGCAGGCTCCCGCACCCCAGAACAGAAGCCAGTGAGGGGTGCTGTCGGGGTGAGGGGAGACGCCGAGTGGACTCTGCTCCCCGGATCTGAGCCCCCCCCTCCCCGGAAGCGAGAGGGGCTTCCTTTCTCCCGGCGGGGATTCCTTCCGGCCTCTGAGCTGGCTGGCTGCGTGACCTTGGGAAGTCTGTCTCCGTCCCTGGGTCTCGGACGCCCACGTGTAACCCAAGAGGAGCCCAAACAAGTTCCCGAGGTCCCTGTTCTCAGATTCCTGAGATGGAAATTCCTTATCTCCGCTGGCTCCTGGTGTCCTGTAACTTCCGGCCCCCTTGGAACTCCCCCCTCTGGATAGAACATCCGGGCAGTTCGGAGTGCACAGGAAGGCCGGGAGTGTCCACCTCAGGACAAGGTGGCCCTGTCTTGTGTGTCAATCTGCTTCCTGAGCAAGGTGAAGGGCTGGTGGTCTGCATACCCCTTGCAACACACACACACACACACACACACATGCATACACATGCATGCATACACATGCACACACACACGCACACACGCACACATATGCCTGCACAAGTATGCCTGCTGCACACACACGCACGCACGCATGCACACACATATGCACTCACCTGCACACGCATGCATACACACGCACACACATACACACGCATACATGCACACTCTTCTTTTCCCACTCAGAGTTAACCAGGCACATCCCATATCACATCTTTAGGGATCGCGTCCATTTTGCAGATGGGAAAATTGAGGTTGAGAGTGTTTAGCCTGTTCTAGCACTTCAGTTTTAGAACCCCTGGGGCTCTAACTAAGAATAACTCTTTTTGTTTGTTTGTTTGTTGGTTGGTTGGTTGGTTGGTTTGGTTTGGTTTGGGGCCATACCTGGTGGTGCTCAGAATTTACTCCTGGCTCTGTGCTCAGGAGTAATGCTCCCAATGGGGCTTAGGGGACCATTTGTGGTGCTGGGGGTTGTATCTGGGTCAGACACATGCAAGACAAATGCCCTCCCCACTGTCCTCTCACTCGGGCTCAAGCAGGAATAAGTCTTTCCCACACGCCCCACCACTCCCACCACTCTTGACCCCTCTGCCCAGCTATGAGAAAACTGTTGGGGGCAGGCGGGGGTGGGGTGGGGGCAGCGGCATCAGGCTTGTGGTCTGGGTCTCGTGGTCCTGGCGACCGGCTCAGCTCTAGCCCCTTCCCAGCTGTGGGCCTCCGGGCAGTTCACTAAACTGCCCTGGGCTTCCGTTTCCCCATCTTGGAACGGAGGATACGGGTCACTGTTAAAGGGGCCGTTTTTGTCTGAGCCGCTGCCGGGAATCGAACCCGGGTCTGCATGCCCAAGGCAAGTGCGGTGTCACTGAGCCCACTCGGGCCTTGTCCTGCTGTATTGTCTCGAGACTGTCGCCAGTGTGTTTGTGTGCTGTGTCCAGCACAGTGCTGGCCTGGCACAAGTGCTGTGAACCAGAGAGCTAAGTGAACAGAAACGGGATGCGGGGACTTAAGGTTTGGTCCCCGCCCTTAGCCCCTACCTGACCCAAAGCAGGCCCCTGGAAAAGTCTACCCCCCAGCCAGTGTTCCTCTCCCCCTCCATACCCCCCGCGGTGACCTTGACCTTTCCCTGGCTGTGACCTTGACCTCAGTGTTGAGGTCCCCCAGGCGCACAGTCTCCCCCTCAGAGCTGCTCAGTTCGAAGTGGCCGTGGGCTCCCTCCACGCAGCCTCAGGAACCGGCCGAGGATGCTGATGGCGGGGGAAGTTTATTAAAGTTTCATGCCTGGAACAGGAATAGAGATTCTCGCAAGGTCAGCCGCGGCCAGCTCCGTGGCCTCTGACGCCACCGGCCCTCCCGGGAGCTGGGGCGCAGAGGAGGGGGCCACGGGCATCAGAGGAAGAGATAAGTGGCAGGTCTTGGGGACGCCGGGTGGGTGGCGTGCCTCCCCCCACCCAAACCAGGCCACGCACCACCCCGTGACCCCATCCCGCACCGCCTCCAGCCCTGCCGGCCCGTTTTGTGGTTTTCATCCGCTGCCGATCTGAAGCCCAAGGCAGGGTCTTCACGGCCGACTGCTCCCGACAACCTCGATCACGGAGGAAAAGCAGGCCAGCCGCCACCCCCGTTCCCTGCGTCCTTCCCTTGGCAGACAACCCAGATCCGAAAGCGCTAACTCCAGCCTTCCCACCCCGCTCCAACAGATGTGTCCTGGTGTAGGCCCCACCTGCGGTGGGCCGGGCGCCAAGGCCCCGTTCAGCTGTCCAGCCCCGGCTGTCTGAGCGCCGGCTCGAAGCTGGCTTCGGTCACAGGGTCCTCCCCGGGTGTGGCGAGGGTCGCAGGCCTGACAGACTGGGAGACACGGCGAAACGCCCCATGAATGCGGGCTGCTGTCAGTGTGGTGCTCACAGGTGTGTGTGTGTGTGTGTGTATGTGTGTGAGTGCGTGCGTGTGTGTGTGTGTGTGTGTGTGTGTGTGTGTGTGTGCTTCACGCATGGCCAACAGGTGCCGATGGGCCCACGGGAGGCAGAGATGTGGGTTCCTGCCCAGATGGAGGCGTTAACCAGCCTGGCAGCGGCCCAGGGCTCACGTCCATGCTGACCTCTGCAAAGGCTTTAAAGCCAGGACATGGCCGGCGGATCTCAAACGCGGCCAGCAAGGGGGTATTTGCTGGGGCTTGGAGGGGATAGACGGGGGCAGGGGGGTGGGGGCAGAATCCCCAGCAGGGTCTAGCTCCGGCGTTCAACCTGCTCCCTCGAAAGGTCAGTGGTTCGGAGCCCTGGGCCTCAGCCCCTGCGCTGACCTTCCTGCCTGCTTTAAATCTCAGGGACCCATCACCCCTCGCCATTCCCGGACTCCTGGGCGCCCAGCGGCTGAGTGTCTAGACAAGGGACCCGCTCTGTGCTGCGACCTTGACCAAAATAATATGGGTGGCAAGGAGTGGTGACGTCACTGGGCGGTGACACTCCCTCCTCTGCCCTGCCTGCGGCTTCGGGGCAGCAATGCTGGTTTGCAGGGGTGGCATGGAGAGGTGAGGGCTCGCTGCGAGTCTCATGCCCTCGGGAGAGGCGAGGTAGGGAACTGGGCCCGTGGGGACCCCAACGCCGTGCCCTGTGCTGTCAGTCGGCCCCTTACGGCTTCCGGAGTTGCCACTGTTCCAGGCTGGCATTTCTGCAGCACTCCTGGCCCCTCTACGGTTCCTCTATGTCCGTTAGTGTCTGTTCTGCAAGCTCAGGGTTCGGTCCCCTTCGCCCCTTTTGCGGCTCTGGTTCAGTTGTGAGTTTGTGTGTGGTGGGGATTTGGGGGAGACCCCTGGCTGGCTGTAACTTGGGGCTTCCTGCTGGCTCTGTGCTCAGGAATCACTCCTGGCGGTGCTCAGAAGAACCGTCGGGCTGCTGAGATTCGAACCAGGGTCTGGCTATGTGCTTGGCAAGTGCCTTACCACCACCCCCCGCCTCCCCCGTGCTAGCTCCCTGGCCCTTTTTTAAAATTTTTTGACCCCAGATTGTCAAAGAGCAGGGCCACAGGGAAAGCTTCTTTATGAAACGAGCGAGTGTCCACCCAGTTCGCGGGGTTCACAGTGTCACGGAAGCTCAGTGTATGTGGGGGGGGGGGGCTGGCTGGTCTCTGGGCTGGGAACGGGCACCAACACGAGCTGAGGGACGCTCCCGCTCCGTCTGTCCCTCTGCAGGGGGGTGACAGTCCCCGAGTCCTTTAGGGTGACAATGGGTGAGGAGGAAAGACGAGCCCTAATGATAACGCAGTGCATTCACCCCTGCGGACCCCTACTTCCAGGAAGCTCAGGCTTTTATAGACGGGTCGATTGATTCTTGAAAAACCACCCTTGGAAGGTGCCGCAGAGCTTGGAAAGGGGCTTTTAAGGCAGGAAAGGAGGAGCAGGATGGGGGTGGGGGTGTTTGCACCAAATCCAGCTGCACTGCAGAGCCCTGACGACTCCGATGCAGAGTGGCCATCTTCAGTCCAGTCCAGTCCAGGTGGCGGCACTCCACCCCCAGGGTTTCTGATGGCTTAGTTCTGGGAAGGGGGGCTTGTGCGTTTCTCACAGGTCCTCCAAATGGTGCTGGCACCCCAGAGTCCCAAAGCCACCAACTTGCGACTCTCCTAGAGAGTAGGTGTCAATCTGTCCCCATTTTCCAGACGTGGACATCAAGGCACGGAGAGGTCCACTGCAACCCCAGGGTTGCTCAGGTGCAGAGTGAGGGCTGAGTGGGCAGTCTGCCCATCACGTGACGGGGGCGGGGGGAGAGGAAAGGAGAGGGGACCCCCCAGACTTTTCCTGTGTCCCCTCCACTTCACAGGCCTGTCTTCCTTGAGCTCACAACAGCTTCCTAAGGGAAACTGAGGCTCAGGGAAAGAGGGTGAGTGGTTCACCATCACACAGCTCTTCAGCACAGACCCCACTTTCAAGCAGGACCCTCGGATTTCGATGGTCTCACTCTTATCCATGGGGTCGCGGACAGAATCTACACAACCCCCAGGCACACATGCAGGCATCACATATACGCACACACGCACCACGCACACACCACACATGCAACACACACACACACACGCATGCACGCACACAGAGCACACAAGGAGGTCTCATCCTAGCCACGCATTCCCAGAAACCCAATCCTGGTTTCCTGTGCCTCCTGTTCAGTCTCCAGAACCTTCCAAGGCTTGTCGAAACACTCAAGGTCCTAACTCTGGCCTCCCCACGGCGGGTGCCTCAAGGCATTTGTCTTTTCTGCTTCCTTCCAACAAAATTCGTTCTCTTTCATCCTTAAGTAGCTGGTTTAACATGGGCGGCTGGCGAGGTTAGAGGGAGCCCCTGGGGCTGGGATTCTAGGGGGACACCTAGAATCAGGCAGAAACTTCTGCCCTCTGAAGGTGGGTACTGGCCTGGGATGGGGCCGGCTTTTCCCCCCATC